GGATGTGTTTTATTTCACCCTTGCAAAGCACACTGAAGTTTGTATGCTTTGTTTTTTAGCAGGACACGCAATGAAAACATGAAGACAATAAACGTGTAAAGATCCAGCCAACAAAAATGTGTTTCACCGTATTTCTCACCTACATCTTTCCCACTTTTGTTACTCGAATAGCATGGTTAGCAGGGAGTATCAATAGCCCCTTTTAACCTTATAGCTGTTAAAATAGGAATATACATTTGTTATGATAATGACATTTATAGAATACATTAAATATATAATGTCTCCGCAAGCGCTATCCTCACATAGTGTCCTAGATGAATTGTATTTGCCGGTTTGTAAAAATTTATAGTTATTTTTTCCCCATTTTATGTTTTCGTGTTTGCACTTATACTGTACATCAGAAAACATAAAACATCGGTCTTAACGCCTAGGCCTATAGGGTTTCATGTTCCATGCGGTTGCAGACATGTTCCCGAAAGTCGATGCATGACGGCATGGATTAAAAAAGTGTAGTTCATCTATAGATTACGAAAGGGTTGAAAGAACAACATAATAATAATAATTGTAGCCTATTTTTTAAGTCAAGAAAAAATTTATGATGTGTGGAAATTGGGACTTTCCAAGCAAAAATATCCCAGCAACACAAAAATAGTCTAGTTGAAAGGCCTCTTCCTAATTCAGTTGATAGTGAAATAAATTGATAAAGATCTTTGACGAACTTACCAGAAATCGTCCTTGTTGCCACACAACCTCAGCTTAGATAAGTTTGAATCTTTCTTCTCTCCCTAATATCGTCTGAATTGAACACGAACGACTTGTCAACTAACAGTTAAACTGCGCAATTTAACGCCGTAGCAGTGGAAACGGAAAAATCAATAACAGTCAAGAAAAGTCCCGTAACGCAAAAGTCCCTGAACAAAGTAGTGGATTGAATAACAAGTGTTTTATTCCCCCTTGCAAATCACATAGAAATGGGTAAATAGTTTGCTCTTTGCTATGAATTCTTACAAAGAGCAAATGTGTATAAAGATAAAAGGGAAGTTTGGCCCATTTTTCTCTTATACCTCTTTCTTAAATTCCTCATCTAAATATAATGGATACAGGGACTTTGATTAACCCCTTTTAATCTTAAAGCTGGAAAAATATGGGTAATTGTTATAATTGAATTAACACGATACTCTGATGTTGACTGCCTATGATCCATTCATCGCGCTGAAAGTGTAGTTAATCAACATACATGTACATGTATACAGAATTAATGTCTTATGTTGCTCTTATCGAGTATTGATTATGAACGAAAATGGACTCTGCAAAAGACCGCATTCCATATTCATAATTATGTTCACAGTTTTTTTCCTGCGTCATTCACAAAGACGTTTTCATAGGCCTGTATATCATATTGAAACAATTGCCCTGCATCGAAACCTTTCAAGAATTATAACACTGACGTGCTCCGGATTTTGCTTAGATCAGTATATTTTCCAATTTTGCTGTCTTGTTCAATATTGTATATTCTGTAACATGACTACAGTGATGTAGGAATGGTGGATCGCAATAATAGTTCATTTTTAACATTATTGGTTCATGAAATTTTAGGGTTGAGATTTGTCCCCTTTGTGTGAAAGCAACATTAGAAAGATGCGGGACCTTTTATGAAATGATCATATACTGAATTACGGGAAATGCCGGTGGAAAGGAAAATCCAGAAGTGGGGAGGGGTCTTCCTTTCTAAGCATTAATTTCCTGTAACATACCATCTCGTTTTCATCCAGTCTGAGAAAGAAGAGCAGGCTGCCCGTGAAGCTGCCGCCACAGCTGCTGCTGCTGCCCTGCCCTCTACTGGGCCAGAGTACAGCCAGGAACAGTGGACTGATGCCCCCACCCCTGGGGGAGCCCCCGCCAAGGTGGCTGATGTAAGTCTACCCCAGCTGGTTATATTTATTACAGTTAAAAGTTGGTAGGTACATTTTTTAGAAAGACATTCTGTGAACATTAATTGATGGCGGGATTGGATTTGTCTAAGATGTGTTTGGAGAATGGCATTAAAATTGAGATGATAGTCCATACATTCATAAAATATCAATTTTGGTGTGATGTGTACAAGAGTCAATTTTTTTAAAGTGAGATGATAGCTTAGTGATAGCTATTTTATTTGTAGTAATTGTTTCACTTAGGTAAGTTAAGTAGTATCTGAAGTAGTATCTAGCAGCAACACACTCATTCAATAGAGATTTTCAGTATTTATCAAATGTCACCAGTAAATGCTCAATAATAAATATTTTGACATTTATATTCTCCACATTTGATCTGTTACCTTAGTGGTCCACTGAAGGTGTTCCTGCAGCCCCAGCAGCTATGTCAGGTGGTTATGGTGGAACAACAGAGGACTGGTCTGCCACTAATGATGATTGGTCTGCACCCACTCAGTCAGCAGCAGGTACTGCCCCAGCCCCTGATAACCAGTGGGGAGGGGCTAACACCACTGAGAACTGGGGTTAACATGGTCTAGTGGACAGTACGGGGAACGCTGTGAAGATTATTAACTGTCAAGATTTAGAAAGACTTTAAGGAAGTTTCTTGTTACTGTAAGGACTATAGAAAAAATAAAATTGGACAGAGAAATAAAGAGAACAATGAAGTGAGTTGTTTGGTGTTATTGTTGCTATGCCTGCACTAAATTAATTGTTTAAGGACAGAAAATATTCTTTGGTTCACTATCGTGGAAGGGACCATATGTGTACAAGTAGGTAGTGTGAAAAAATGCACCGACTTAAATAAAAATGTATACTGTTGATTTGCAACTACATTAAAAGAAAAGCTGTATTTCCACCGTCTCCAAATACTTTTTGTATGCACCCCCTCTTCACCAGTTAATATCTGCAATTCGATAGTATCATTGACAAACCTACTGAGCTACGTATGTACTCTATATATTAGAATAATCGTTTTAACTCCCATAAAGAAATGCTGATTTAAATTTGTTAAAAATTGAATTTGGCAACTTATAAAATGAAGCCCCGAAACACGGAAAATGGCATCAGAAGAAATAACTAATTGTTTGAGTTGTGATTTCTTTGAAATTTCTTCTCTCAATCGCAGCTTGCACATACCCTGAGTGTCAGATCAACGTGAAAGTTAGTTTGTTTAATATTTAATATACCTTGGAGTCACTTTCACTAGCTCTGACGAACAGCAACAATATGAGGGAGTTCTTCAAAATTTTGCCTGGGGCGCTTCCATATTTGGAAGTCACACGTCACAGCTGTGCCCGCCTGGATCCATATTTGGAAGGCATAAGTCTCGTACGTCACAGGTTTAGCCGCCTGGAGCTGCCTTTCCTACCTTACGCTGACATAATCTCGTGCAGATGAGACAAGAATCAAAGTGTCTGACGAGTTTGGCCCCCGTCCCCTTCCAAGTCCTCTCCCAAGAAAACCAACGGGGATCTTTCAGTGTCCAATAAGACGTACATGAGAGTAACTCTAAGACGGCATATGACTGACAATGTTAATTTTATTACTCATTCCGTTGTTATTTTATTATGGAATATTACACAACTTATACGTCTCATAATTATGTTAAATATGAAGTTCGTGTGCACAGATATAAATTATTACAATATATATATATACACTTACAAATAAAATTGTTCTATATAATGTCTATGAATTCTTACAATAAGAAGATGAAACTATATTAATGTAGATATTTACAACAGACTGATATATATTTAACAATCTTGCATCTCATGAAAAATGTTGCCTTAGTGAACGGAATTATTTGCTGTAGACATATACATAACATATACATATACATGTATTTATGATAACACCACGTTAAGCCAAATTCACACACTCTGAGCGGGAGATTATCAGAAATCTGACCAACGGATACCTTTTGTGTGAAATATCCTTGGATTTATACAGAATGGGTATAAGTTGTTAATTTCAAATTGACACGCTCTAAGCGGTAGATTATCAGAAATCTGACCAACGGACACCTTTTGTGTAAAATATTCTTGTATAAGCTGTTAATTCTAATTTAATAAACTAAACCATCAACGACCAGTGTTTACCACCAATAACAGCGCACCGAATGAGCACCCAAGGACAAACTGACGTTACAAAAGATCAGAGTCTCATTTCATTTAATTCCTGTCGTCTTACACGAGGACGTTTTGGATTTGAAAAGATTACCCAGGATTCCATACCAACATAGATTATCACATGGACTGTTTATTTGAATAAAGACACATGAAGTAACCCATAAAGCAGCTTAAGTATACGACGTCTTTGTCTATAACAGATAAGGGGGGTTCGCCTGTGCAAGCCGATAGTTGTAAGGCGAACGAAGCGGCAAATTAGTCTACGGCAGTAATTTTTGGTTTGCCATTGATATTGGACATGGAGATATCAACCTTTTACAATTATACGAAAGGCTGGCCGCGGCCAGCGATCATCGCCCGGAAAATTTCAGTGACATTCTGTCCAAAGAAGCACATAAGCTCCATACCAGTTTTTTTTGTAGCAAAAAAAGGGTCGACAAGAGCGTCGTGGTATTTGGTGGACTAAACGTCGGACAGGCCACCCGATAGTTGGCTGCTACGTGTGAGTCGAAGTAAACAAAATGGCATCGACCGAAATTTCCTTTTTTAGATTAGGTAGTAGGAAGCATATAGGCCTATCTTTGGTTCATTTTTAACAATTCTGTGAAGTGTTTACAATGCTTTAATTTTCTGAGAGTACAAATAAAGACACGCTGTTTATTTGATATTTGTTTTATTGATTGCTATACCAACAGAATACATGAAATAACCGTAAATAGATTTGGTAATATGCAGCATATATATTCGTGACTTTTTACCTTTCTACGAAGTAGGCCCTATTCACAATGCTTTAATATTTTGAGGGCATGGATAAAGACATGTTGATAGTTTGATACGTGTTTCTGTGGTAAATTAGTGTTTCTTAAGCAGTTTTTTTTTTTTTTTTGGACTGCTTTTTTTTCGCCCGCTCGCGCCGATTTTGGGGTCCCCAGAGGATGTCATCCTTAAAAATAAAAAAGTGTGGCCTATTTCCAAAACACTTCAGGAAAACTTCCATAGGGATTGAAGAAAAAGAAGTTTGTCAAACCTGGCATTGCATTTAGTTTTCCAGCATAGTTATTAAGCACTGCCTCACTCAACATGTTATTACTAGAAATGAGCTCGTTTTCAAGACGAGGAAGATTTGTTCTATTTAGCGAATCAATTACATGAGCGATAGCGTCCCCTATGGAATTATTTGAAATGTTTAAAGAACACAGTTCCTTCCATTGTTTAAGATTATCTGACAGAGCTTCCATTGCAGGTCCCATGTCACCAAGTAATCCAATGTTACAGCCACTTATATCTAAACATGTCATGTTCATTGGTTGGAGTTTACGAAAAAGGTCTCTTATAACAGCTGGAATGTCAATGTTGGAAATAAGCCCCATGTGTGCAAAATTATAAGAAAGGTTGAGTACTTGTAGCCTAGGTACATGATGCAAGTTGTCTGTCAGTGACTTCAGTCCTACAGGCGTAATTTTAGTTTCAAAAAGTCCAAGTTTTTCTAAGTTAGGCAAATGTTTCAACTGTGAGGCCAGGTCACAAAGGGTGTCAATTAATATAGTGTGTTCACCCGATAGTTCGGGAATATCGAATTCGAATCGTTTCAGTATAGCAAAAAAAGCATTGATGTGGTATGGGGGTAATGTAACTATCAATGGGTCCCTCTTATACCCTCTTGCTCTTTCAGACTTGACTTCATCGCCTAACCGCTGGCATGTTTCGCATTCAGTCATAACCGTGTTTGACAGATCTAGAAGAAGGAGGTTGACCATGCTCTTTGTAGATAACAGTTGAAACAAATCAACCAGTTTCCCAAGGGGAGAACAACTGCAGATGCCCAACACCTTCAGAGATGGGAATGGATGTTTAAGTGTGAAAAACAAGCCCAAAACGTCTCCATCCAGTCCTAAATCCACCAAACAGTCCATGGGACTACCTGACAAGAATGTTGAGTTTGGATGGGCAGATAGGGAATCACAACTTTCTTCTTTATCCCGGGCAAGGATCAGCAGCCTCTTCAAACAGGGGAAGATTGTGTGGTACAGTAGTGTGTGAACGATGGCGTCTACTACTATATCTTAAATCTGTGACCTGATGAGCATATTGCAATATACAATCTGCAGTTGGAGGATAAATGCCAGGTATTTCATAATCAGAGAGATGGTTCAGCCATTGCAAATGTTCACGGCCTACAACACGATTGTTTGTCAACATTTCAGTTATCAGACGAATAAACCAGTAGTTACTCTCAATGAACGAGAAACCCCAATATGAATAATAAAGTTCTTCATCTTTGTTAGCCAAACTATGCAAATGCGTAAAGATCACTGCTGCTACTTCTGAGGACAGGCCGCATACAAACTGTATGACATTTGTCATATCTTGGAACCGTGCCAAGCAGTCTACGTGGCTTAAAAATTTCTTAATCGGCTCTGACTGAGAGTCTTCCTCCCAACTTTCAACTATGTACTTTGCAGCAAAATATTCTTGCAGAGTTTTGTGTATAAATGAGTAGCTTGATATGTGAACCTGTGTTTTAATCGGGAAATGATACCTGTGTGGAAAATCTCCTCCCCTAAATCTCTAATATTTGAATTACTTTCATCAAAGGTAAGATTGCCAGAGAGAAGACCATGAAAAGCAATCATACCGATAATATTTGTCTTTTCTGATAGATACCTTTCTGCAATTTCTTGATTTTCTTGACGGTCTACATATCTGTCCGAAAATAGAGTTACAAGTTCTTGATAAAGAGCCGTGAGGGAATTGGGCATTTTTTCTGCAGTTTCTTCATCCCATAAAATACATATAAAAAGTAAAAGTAACGGGGTGGGTGATTGGGATAGATGGAATTTCTCTACATACTGCACAACGGACTCGTGGTAACCTGAATCTCTATCGTTGAAATGGTTTTGTATAAATTGGAGTATTTTTTCTGGGGACATGTCATTTATTTCAACATGCGTGTCACTGGGCCTATGTTTGGACAACTCGTGTGCTTTCCATGGACGTGAGGTGACAACTACCGTTACATTAGCAAGTGTTTCCCCTTTTATCAGTTTGGATATGTTATTCTGGGGGTTGGCACTATCTATGTTATATTCATCATAACCATCTAATATGATGAGGATTCTTTCAGCATTGGAATGCATGTAATTTAACAGAGCTTCATCTGTTATTTCAAGAGATGGGTCAATCAGCTGATCTTTGATTGAGTCAAGCAGAGTTTGGTCTTTGTCAAGAAACCTTAACCTGATAAGAAACAGAAGAGATATATTTTCAAGATAATGTAAATGATTCCCTTCTGTTTGGGGGCGTTTGGTTCTGTTATAGAGACATTCTTCCGTCGAACTTCTATTTGAACTCTGAAACTTAAACCGGGATACTGTAGAAGAGTAACTCAGAGGCGGTGCAAGACTGATAATGAAAGTTTTATTACTCATCCTGTTGTTTTTCATCATGGAATATTACACAGTATACGTCTCATAATAATGTTCAGTTTGAAGTTCGTGCAGATATAAATTCTTACAATATATACACTTTCAAATAAAATTGTTTTATATAATGTCAATGAATTCTTACAATAAGAAGATGAAATTATATAAATGTAGATATTTACAATATGACTGATATATATTTACTAAAATTGCATCTCATTATGAAAAAATGTTGCCTTACTGAACAAAATTATTTGCTGTAGACATATACATGTATTTATGATAACACCACGCTAAGCCAAATTCACACTCTCTGAGCGGGAGATTATCAGAAATCTGACCAACGGATACCTTTTGTGTGAAATATCCTTATACTTTATACAGAATAGGTATAAGCTGTTAATTTTGTTTGATTTAATTTACTAAACCACCAACAACCAGAGTTGTCCACCAATAACAGCACACCGAATGAGCACCCAAGGACAAAATGATGTTATTTAATGTCAGAGTCTCATTTTATTTAATTCCTGTCGTTTTACACGAGGATGTTGTGGTTTTTGAAAAGTTTACCCAGGATTCCATACGATAATAGATTAACACATGGACTTCTAATACGTATGTTAATACGTATGGATACATGGACTAACCCCTAAAGCGGCTTATTATATATGTTGTATATGTATGTCTATGACAGAGGAGGGGTTTCGCCGGTGTAAGTCGGCAGTTATAATATGAACGAGGCGTCCAATCAATCTACAGCAGTAAGTTTAATACTACAGAACATCATTGGGATAAATTAACAATATATATGGAATGTAGATCTAATTAGAGCATTCTTTCAAAATTCCTTCATAAAACCTTGTTCTATTATCACTGCAATATACGGGGAACAAGGCGGCCAATCAACCTACAGCAAAAATTTCAATATTAAAAAACACGTCATTCATCGGGAGCAATTATTAACGAACAGGACGAAAGACGTACTTTACATCCAATGAATAAGCCTACAGATGTCCTACTTCACACCTGGCATTGCTCTCAGTTTTAGAGCAATTTTCTCTCGCACTGTCTCACTCAATTTATTTTCAGCAACACACAATTCTTTAAGACAAGGGAGATTTGTGCTATTTAGCGAATCGAGTAGATGAGCGATTGCGTCCCCTATAAAATTTGTTGGTATGTCTAAATACTGCAGTTCCTTCCATTGTTTAAGATTATCTGACAGAGCTTTCATTGCAGGCGCCATGTCACCAAGTAATCCAATGTGACAGCGCCTCATTGATAGGTGTGTCATGTTCATTGACTGAAGTTTATGAAAAAGGTCTCTTATAACAGTTGGAATGTCAATGTTGGAAACAAACCCCATATGTACAAAATTAGAGGAAATGCTGAGATCATGCAACCTAGGTACATGATGCAAATTGTCTGTCAGTGATTTCAGTCCTACAGGTGTTATTCCATTTTCAGCAAGTACAAGTCTTTTTAAGTTAGGCAAAAGCTTCAGCTGTGAGGCCAGGTCACAAAGGGTGTCAATTCTAATACTGTGTTCTCCCGGTTTTACTTTATTGTTACCTTGGCAGGGAGGTACTGTAACTATGAATGAGTCGCTTTTATTTCTTACATATTTCTTTCTTTCAGTCTTGGGCCACACACCTTTTACCGGGCATGTTAAGCACGCAGTCATACTTGTAAATGTCAGATCTAGAGTTAGAAGGTTAACCATGCTCTTTGTAGATAACAGTTGGAAAAAATCAACCAGATACCAGACGGAATGGCAATTCATGATCAGCAAGCTCTCCAGAGATGGGAACGGGGGTTTTACAGACAGAAACAGCTCCAAGGCGTTTATACACAGTCTTAAATCCACCAAAGAGTCCATGGGACTACCGTACAAGAACGTTGTGCTTGGATCGGCACATCGGTAATCACGACAGCTCGCTTCATTATAGTCGGCCAGGATCCCCAGCACCTTCAAAGATGGAAAGATGGTGTGGTACTGTAATTTGTGAACAATGGCATCTACTGGTACTTCGACTAATAAGCCGAACTCTGTAACCTGATGAGCGTATTGTAATATACAATCTGCTGTCGGGGGATATACATGTATATCAAGGATCTCATTACTGTTGAGATGGTTCAGCCATTGCATATGTTCACGGGTTACAGCTCGATTGTTTATCAACATTTCAGTTATTAGACGAATAAAAGTAGGGTTAAGGGATGCAAAATATGCAGATTTAAAATCTGCATCTTTAACAGCCAGGCTATGAAAATGAGAAAAGATCACTGTTGCTACTTCTGATGACAGGCCACATACAAATTGTATGACATTTACCATATCTTTGAACCGTGCCAAGCAGTTAACATGAGTTAGAAATTTTTTAATCGGCTCTGACTGAGAGTCTTCCTCCCAGCTTTCAACTACGCACTTTGCAGCGAAATACTCCTGTATAGTTTTGTGGTTAAATGAATAGCTTGATATGTTGACGTTTCTCCTAATGCTATTAAGTTTTAATCGAGATATGATACCTGTGTGGAAAATCTGTTCCCCTAAATCCCTAATATTAGAATTAGTTTCATCGAAGGTAAGATTACCGGACAGAAGGCCATCTAAAGCAATTTCACCAATGATATTTATCTTTTCTGATAAATAACACTCCGCGGTTTTTTGATGTTCTTGACGGGCTATGTATCTATCCGAAAGTAGGGTTACAAGTTCATGGTAAAGAACCGTGAGGGAATCGGGCATTTCTTCTGCAGGTTTTTCATCCCACAGAATGCATATAAAGAGCAAAAGTAACGGGGTGGGTGATATGGATAGATCGAACTTCTCTACGTAACACACAACATATTCGTGGTAACCTGGATCTCTACCTTTGAAATGGTTTTGTATGAATTTGTCAATTTCATCCGGGGACATGTCGTTTATTTCAACATGCGTGTCACTGGGCCTATGTTTGGACAACTCGTGTGCTTTCCATGGACGTGAAGTGATAATTACTGTTACATTAGCAAATGTTTCCCCTTTTATCAGTTTGGATATGTCATTCTGGGGGTTGGCACTATCCATGTTATATTCATCATAACCATCTAATATGATGAGGATTCTTTCAGCATTGGAATGCATGTACTTTAACATAGCTTCATCTGTTATTTCAAGAGATGGGTCAATCAGCTGATCTTTGATTGAGTCAAGCAGAGTTTGGTCTTTGTCAAGAAACCTTAACCTGATAAGAAACAGAAGAGACATATTTTCAAGATAATGTAAATGATTCCCTTCTGTTTGGGGGCGTTTTGTTCTGTTATAGAGACATTCTTCCGTCGAACTTCTATTTGAACTCTGAAACTTAAACCTTGCCCAATCAACTGCCATTTTTGCAGCAACTGTTGATTTGCCACTGCCAGCTTTACCTCTGATAATGATTCTTTTCTTTCTTATGTCTGGTCTAAAGATATCATGGTAAGACTTGAGTTCAACCTTTTTGGTGCCACCGCCTTCCTTTTGTTCTTGGATGAGAGACAGATCGACAAACACATCATCAATGTTCATGGTGTCGGTCTCATCCCAGGGGATCCGCGGCACACAGCTCATCTCACGGTTGTACCTTGCTGCCAGGTGGTTTTGAAGCAAGGTTAGCTGTTTTTCTGGAAGAATAAACAAAGTCAAACTGCAAATTGCATGTGTTGGGTGGTGTGTGTGTGTGTGTGTGTGTAAAAGAACAGAAAATGTTAGACATTAACTACACTTTATAGAGATCAAACAAGCTGCATTTATGTGAGGTGTATGGGCTTTTTAATAGTGAGTGGCGGATTCAAGGAGGGGGATGTCTGGTGGGGTCCTTCGATTTCTGAAAAAAAAATTAATGTTAAATTTAGAATTTTGACCAGTTGAGTCATACTTCTAAACCGAACCAAGTGGCACTGTTTGCCCTCTAAAATACCAAAATTCGTGGACCCCCTCCCCTTCAAACATTCCTGGATCCGCCCCTGATAGTGGTTTATAACCTAAAGCCATTCCGCCATGCAAGCTGTCGTACACCCTCCGTGTTTAGGCACTAAAAGTAAGAACATGGCTGTGAATTTTGCGAACATCTCCTTCAGCATGGCGTTCACTTTCAAAACCACGATCGGAAGTCGTCGTAAAAAGCTGTAAAATGGTGCCAGTCGATGGATGTGACACATTCTCCACACTGTCGAGAAGTTAATGGATCGTTTGTAACATACTGCGGGTGGTCACAGCAATCGAGATTAGCGGAACCAAAAATGGCCTTCTCTCTTATTACATGTATATTGATATCATCGAAACTGATTAAGAATAAGGGCTGTTGAGTCTGATAAAGAATAAAGACTGTTTAAGACAGCACAACCTGTTTTCAGCATCCAACAGTGTATCTTTCTATAAAATGCATATACTGGCTATGTATAACAAATACAATATAACAGTTTTACGGTAATCAACCACCTGACAAATGGGCTAGAGGTATCTTGTCGGTCTGGTAGCTTATACAACTGATAGTAATCATGCTGCCAAGCACATTACACTGCTGGGTAACATGTTTTAAAAACATAATTGTTATATACTTACCAGACAAAATGCCCTGTTCTGTCTTCCTCTCTGGCCGTTCCTCTGTATGTACGGGATGGTAATGGGTTTCAACACGCAGGTTTGTTTCTTGGACCGTTAAAGTCTGTTGAACATGATGGTAGCTTAGCATCTCTCGTCGCTTATACAACTCACTCAACATTGCATACACATGGTCTAATTTCACATCCATATTTTGCATAAACCTTAACATTTCCATCTCTTCCAGATAGCCATGTAAGATGCATACTTGATAGGACATTTCCCTCTCGGGTTCAATTGGTTTGTGTTTTAGTTCCTGTATCTCTGACGGAGTCATCACTCCAAGGCGTATTACGGCACTGGAGATGGTGGTCCACTTCTGTTCAAATTCACTGAGACTGATGTCAGTTGATTTACGGTGAGCAAGTGAATTACGTTCAAACTTGAAAAGAACGATGTCCTGCATGTCTTGTGGGGCACCTGAAGCTTTTGCTGGATCATCCCAAACTGGTGCATTAGGCGGGTAAACATGCGTGGTAATTGGATGAAGATTCTGTATTAGCTTGTAAAGATCATGGGAGCTTGTTGAGTCAAATTGTGGCAAAGCGCCCCCTTTTGGAATAAGATTACATAGTAACGGAGGTGGCAATATGGATTGGACAGACTTGAGGTTCATGTAGTCGGAAAACGACTGACCACGAAGGATATTTTCAAGGAAGTAGATTCTCACTTGAAACTGTCGAATTAATAAAAAGATGAGGGTGATGTCAAATCCCTTCAAATCAGGCGGCTGATTATTGGCAGGGAAGATCAGATCATACTGTCTCTTGTTGATAAGTCTCTTGCACCCATGTCTTCCATGATGGAGATTGTCAATGTGTGTCTTGTTTGTAGTAAAGAACTGCCGTGGTGTCTGTCCACGTAGTATGTGGTTGTGGAAGTAATTTCTTATTCCCTCTGTCCCATGGTCAATGAGAAGACATCCCAACTTGGCGTAGTACTGCATTCTGACCTGAGAGACAAAATAAAATTGAAGTTGATTAAAACCCCGTATACCTTCCTTTCTTTTGTCTTAAATAAAGGCAAGAAAGAAACAATAAATCTCAGAAAGTATATTTCATTCTCAGATTACGAAAAAATAGGTCTATACATGTTGAAATACAGTTCGGGTCATCAGACATCCCAACTTGGCGTAGTACTGCATCTGGGCCTGAGAGAAAAATCAAAACTAATATAATTTAAAATGAAACCAACAGAAAATTTAAGAATAGTATTATGCAACATATGCCCTTACGAAAATTTCGTGTGGCACGTCCTATTGGACTCCATGAGACTCTATAGGTTTGTTTTTGTTTTAATTCAAGACTTTTGTTTATGTTTGTTTTTCGTATATCAAATGGGTGCTAAGGATGATTGTTAAGTGATTCCTTTCAAGTGAGATAAAGAAAGGTCTTGGAATACAAATGTTGTATAAGGTCGACTTTAAGTCTCCCTTAACGCTAAAGGGAGATTCTGGAATACGGGCCTAGGGTTCACGGAGCGAACTTAACCCCGGCATACAAATATAATGTAAGTCACGTTATGTCTTGTATTTAGATATAAAAAATCTGGCTTGTGGTCGTAAAGGAAAGAGACCACGATTAAAATGCAGAAAAGTGAACACTGTACCACCGCAACCTTCCCACTACTAAGCAGGATCAGTAAAAAGTTATTCTGAGATATTGCACATATTTGCTAGGGGAGTGGATTTACGCGGCATTTTTCACACCCGCCATGCATATTTTCTCTGTCCACTAGCGATAGGCTCCGATTCTTCTGATATTTGTCAATAAATTTTTGCGATGCAGCTGCACCGGTACAAATAAAAATTTGTTACCAGTAACAATGTTATTAAAAAAACAACAGGATGATATATGAGAAAATTTAAGTCAGGTGTGCCTGGGTTGAGGTCGATACTATTATATAGAGCCAGGTTCATGAACTTATCAAAGTAATACATCTCCATCTAAATCTGTACACATGATAATTCGTCATCCACTGTCAAATTAAATAACAGATCAAAATAGAAAGCCCCTCGATGCTTATACTTTGATTCTAACTTTGTCTTGGCCAATAAAATCATGTGACGTGGTGAAAGCTAGCAAATGTAGCCTAGGTCGCCAGTTTAAAACTGAAAGAAACTCGAATGAAATTTACCTCATGGCATTCTGCAACACTAATACGACTTACAAAACGGCATACATCGGCTTACATTCTTGAAAATTCGTGCCGATGGGAGTTTTCAAAATGTTAAACATCTCACTTAGTAAACAATCAATGTTGGCACATCTAAAAATCCTTACACTGAAAACAACTGAAACTTCGCCGAGAGAAATCGATGGTTCCGCTAAGGATAACCGCACGTCAGAATATGTTTTCTAGAGTATTCTAACCCTTATCAGTATCGTCCGATAACTATAAATGCGTCATTTATCAGCCTGAGGTAGGTGTGGTATGAAAAGACAGCACTCTAAGGTTCACAGGGTGGACTTTAACCTGGTACAAGTCACGTTGTGCCCTCCATTTACTGGATAATATCTAGGAAATCTCGGTTATGATTTTTAAACGGAAGGGCCACAACAAAAACTTTTAAAAGTGAACACTGTATGCCTGTCATCTGTGTACTGTTAGACAGGAACAGTGAAAAGTTATATGATATTGTGGAATATCCTAGTAAAAGGGTCATGGACTGTGCAGTTCAAAAACTTGAATGAAAATCGCGTTTGTCGTTCAGTAGACCATGTACAAACTAAGATAAACATTTATTCGCGTTTTATACAGTTAGAAAGAAAAGTACCACAATTTAATCCTGTTTAAATGTTTTCTGTATTTAATAAAGAGCACCCAAACAAACAAACTTCACTTTATCTCTCCCATTATTATCACAAACCTATTGACACCAAGTAACATCAATTGTGGTAGTTGTGATTTCTCAGCTGCTGCAATGGAAATTGTGCAAAGACTTTTTACAACACACCAACAGCATTTTTCACCCCCTGACATGTCTATTTTCGCCGTCCACTAGGCTTTGATTCTTTTCATATTGATCGGTATTGCTGTTCTTTAGCGATGGATAATGATCGCCCTTTTCCTATAAGATGTGACTCTCCAAAACCCTTAATTCTTGAGGCATCGAGCTTTAAGAGTAGTTTTTTATTAGAAGTCAGAAAGATGTGGTTAAAGCTGTCTATCCAAAACCTTCATATGGATCCCTTTTGCTTCTTTCCGAGTTTTTGTTTCCTAAGCTTATTAATTTATGCTATAAATGGCGATTTTTTAAAATTTGTTTTTAATATATAACTGTAAAGATAGACTATAGTGTAGCAGCCAAAAGTTCTTTGTTCATTATCCAGGTTGTTGATCCAATCAAAGTGACAGCCGAGCGTGCCTACAACGACTCTACAACGCGTCTGCCGATCGCCATCTTAATCTGTACACACGAGTTGTACAGTAGAATCCGTCATCTAATGGCGGAAATGAGATAATATCTCAGAATAAAGCTCCCCGAGTCTTAATAAAAAACCATGCTTTTTATTTTAGTTTTAATATTGTCTTGGAAAAAAAAGTCCTGGGACGTGGTAAAAGCTAGTAGATCTAGTCTAAGTTGTTAATTTAAAACTGAAAGCAGCTTGAATGGCATTTACCTTAAGGAAATCGTCAACGCTAAAACGATATACAAAACAGCATAACCTGGCTTTCTTTCTTTAAAATATGAGACATTTATATGACGTTTTCGCCATTTTGGTTTGGATCTTGGAGGGCAATCAAAGGACGAAGACAAAGTTATGGCCGATGGGAGATTGTTTTCAAACTGTTACTATCTCACTTAGAATATAACTAATGTTGGCACATCTAAAAACCCTTACCTTGAAAACAACTGAAACTTCGCCGAGAGAAATCGATGGTACCGCTAAGGATAACCGCACGTCAGAATATGTTTTCTATAGAGAATTGTAACCCTTTGTAAAAGAGATGCACATAAAATCAAGACGAAATATCCTATAGCTCGTCGTCCAAAAAATTCAGTAACTGTATGCTTTTCATTTATGTTTTAACTTTGTCTTCACAAAAAAAAAAAAAAAAAAAAAAAAAGGCCTGGGTGAAAGCTAGTAAGTCTAACCTAAATTGTTGGTTGAAAACTGAAAGAAACTTGGATAACAGTTTATCTAGGGGCACTTAATTGTCAACACTAAAATGTGATGCAAAACAGCATGACTTGGCATTCTTTCTTTCTTTCTTTAAATATTAACCATTTATCTGACATTTTCGCCATTTTGTTTTGAATCATAGAGGGCAAATGTCAAAAGGAATCAAAGCGATGGCCGATGAGAGATTGTTTCGTAAATATTACTCATCTCACTTAGTAAACTATGTTAGCACATCCTAAAACCCTTACCTTGCATACAACTGAAACTTCGTCGACAGAAATCGATGGTTTCTCTAAGGATAACAGCACGTCAGAATATGTTTTCTAGAGTATTCTAACCCTTATCAGTATTGGCCGATAACTATAAATGCGTCATGTATCAGTCTGAGGTAGGTGTGATATGATATGACAGCACTCTAGGGGTTCACAAGTCGGACTTTAACCTGGCATTAGTCACGTTGTGCCCTTCATTTACAGGATGATTGCTAAGATATCTCGGTTATGATTTTAAACAAAAGGACCACAACAAAAAAGTGAATACTGTATGCCTGCCATCTTTGTACTGTTAGACAGGAACAGTGAAAAGTTATATGAAATTGTGGAATATCTTAGTAAAAGGGTCATGGACTGTGCAGTTCACAAACTTGAATGAAAATCGCGTTTGTCATTTAGTTGACAATGTTCAAACTAAGATAAACATTTATTCGCGTTTTATACAGTTAGAAAGAAAAGTACCACAATTTAATCCTGTTTAAATGTTTTCTGTATTTAATAAAGAGCACCCAAATATACCAACTTCACTTTATCTCTCTCATTATCATCATAAACCTATTGGCACCAAGTAACAACAACTGTGGTAGTTGTGATTTCACAGCTGCTGCAATGGAAATTGTGCAAGAAAGTTTTTACAACAACACACCAACAGCATTTTCCACCCCTGAAAAATCCTTCATCGTTGAGGCATTGAGCTTAAGGATGAGCTTTTTGCACTGGGAGCCAGAAAGATGTGGTAAAAGCTGCCTATCCAAAACTTCTGTGCTATCTAGTGGCACAGAATAAAATCTCGGTAGATCTAGCTGGATAATCTGGTGTTTGCTTGTTAAGGTTCGAGGGGTTTCTTTTTCCCCGGGGAAAAAATTTGGTTTGTTTATAAGATGGTTATATATCCATCATTTTAACATTAATCTGTACAGTGTTAACAAAAGTAATAAAGTATTTATTGAATATTGACTAATTTTGCTGAATTTCGAAAGGGATCAATTGCAATATCTTGATTGCCTTGATCTCCACCAATACGTTATGTAATACATATATCGGTCGATAATGGAAAGATGTATTTAGGCCACGGTTGTTGACCGACTTGGTTTACGGCTTGGACAAGCATTTAATACTACAAGGAAAATGTCAATACAGTGACATATTTATGATAAAAAGAGATCATATTAAATATTACTATTCAAGGGCTGCTCCCCTTTTACGATGTAACGGTATAGTTCAAAATACCTTGAATTCCTTTGAATACGGTAACTTGCTCAAAGCGTTAAAATAACATCGCAAAATGTAATATTAGGGAGAAAATGAGACAAAACTAGCCGTATGAAGAAACTAATTTCTTTAACAAAATTGTTACAAGTTTATCATGAAAAAAGTATAATTTGAAAATAATTGTGAAGTCTTTCATGAATAAAAGTATACTTAAAAATTAATTCTAAATCTTGAGAAAACTGACATTAAACAAACAATTAACCCCCAGTGTCCAAAATCCAACCCGTGGAAGTACACGAGAAGGAAGAAACTTACACCAGAGAGCAAAATGCTGTTCGTCATGTCGGACGTGCTCTGTATGACCGTTCTGTGTGCTTTGGTTGTCTCGGGTCACTGCACTCCAAATTTTATACAGCGTCCCGCTAACTGCGATAAAGATGTACGACTGGCGTATTCCGTTCTCAGCACACACAACGTTTATAACAGACTCCAGTGCTACTTGAAATGCCTTGATGAGCCGGCATGCCTCTCCTTCAACTTTGAAGATGTGTCTGATAACAAGACTCGAGTTTGCGAGCTGAATTCGAGAATTGTGGACAAGAGAGGAAATAA